TCGGCCTTCCGATGGCCTGTCTGGTTGCAGTGAAAGCAAACCATAAACCCCTTAGGGCAATCCCTGGCAATGTGTCCCTCCTTGCCACACTTGTAGCAACCACCAGCTCGACACGCCCCCTCATGACCCTTGCCGCACTTTCCGCAAGTGCGGCCCTTCGGACCTCCCATCCTCGAATCAGCGGACTTGATCCGCTTGGCTGCCGGCTGAGACTGAGCCGGCCGCCGATCCACCTGCCGAGACTCGGCCTCCTCCCTGGCCTGGGTCTCCAACTCGATCTCGCGCTTCCTGGCGTTCGCCTGAAGCTCAGTGAAAGTACGATAGGTGGAGTTTGACACAAACTCCCGGATATCCCTCCTCAGAACGCCCAAATACCGGCTCATCCGTGACTGCTCTGTAGATACCAGCTCGGGGCAGAACATCGCCCTCTCATGAAACTTCCGTGTGACCACTGCAACGGAATCAGTACCCTGCTTAAGGGTCAAGAACTCCTGAATCAATCGTTCCCTCTCCACTGGGGGAACGTACTCGTCCCTGAACATCTCGGTAAACCTCTCCCATGTCACTGCTGTAATCTCCGCTAGAGTGAAGTTCGCCGTCACGAACTTCCACCAATCCTTCGCTCCCAGACGGAGCTGGTTCAAGGCGAACCGTACCCTCAAGTGCTCCGGGCATGAGCAAGTGTAGAAGCACCCCTCAATGTCGGCGATCCACCTCATCGCAGCAATCGGATCCTGCGTCCCATCAAACTCAGGGGGTTTCGTGTTGCTGAATTCCCGGAACAACAACGAATCGCCCCCTTGCGGCCTGGCAGCGGCTGCAGCATCAGTCAGTGCGGCGTACCGCTCCTCGAACGTCTCCATCAGTGTGGTCTTAATAGACCCAAACATCTCCGGGATCTCAGCCCGGATCGCTGCAGCTACCTCCTCCTGGATCATCTGACGAATATCCTCGTCACTCACACTGCTCGAACTCGCCCCATGACGTGTGGTAACCATGATGTCTCTGAAATACAACATAAAATTATCAGAGACTCCATCAAGTACAATTGTACTCGATAACGCAACCCTACTCAGTCTCCGATATCCAGGGATTCTTACTTGGGTCTTCCACCGACCCGGTGTCTTCGGTAGTACGGGCCCAATACTACCGACCACACCGTGTCAGTATTCGTCCCAAATCTTCCTCCCCAAACCCCGAATAGTGAGTACTCTACTTCTCGTATGCACTATCTACCTGCACGCTACCGAATATCTCATACAAGCAACCTCCCTAGACTAAGGCATCACAAAACAGGCCATTCTAGTCCTATCATGAATACCTAGTCTTCTAGCATGCATAACAATTCATAACTCAGTGCATATCATAACATTGTAAGGTATTCTGGGAATCTTTACCGTTCGGGCGCTGGCTGATCGTACACACTGCTCCGTTCTTGTTTACCACTTTACCCTTTATAAAAATTTATGTCTTTATTATTTTTAAAAGATTTTTTCCTCAAATCCTCGGTTTGAGTTCAGTTACACCCGAAGGTACACCCGAATCTCTCAAACCAAGGCTCTGATACCAATTGTAACAACGCAAATTTTCAAATAAAATTTTCATTTAAAATAAAGTGATTTCATTCAACCAAAAGTATTTATTCCATGTTCCATATCAAATACATATATAAGAATCCCCAAGATCTCAAATAGCAGCAGTGTGTATGCATCATGCCGGCGCCTTCCCACGGTCCTCGCTAGTACCTGAAACACATACATAACAACTTGTAAGCATAAATGCTTAGTGAGTTCCCCAGTATACGACTTACACATATACGCCTTTCCAGGCCCTGACCTTCCGGTCCACAACACTTCGCCTTCCGGCCCGTAACATAATCGCCTTCCGGCCCATAACATATTGCCTTCCGGCCCGTATCATATTGCCTTCCGGCCCATAGTATATTGCCTTCCGGCCCATAACATTTACAACATATAATACATTTAATATAACACACATAGCACATATATCATACATCATACCTGACCTTTCTGTCACATAACATATCGCCTTCCGGCCCGTATAAACATACATATCATGCATAGCAACTACCTTTCTATTTATAGCATAAATAACACATATCATATACGACCTTCCGGTCTCACAGTCAAACCCTTCCGGGTGAAGTATAGTGAGAAGACTCACCTCGTGGTAATGTAAGCTATCAACTCTTGAAACTACTCGCACTCGATCCGCCGATCTGCAGACTCCCTATAATACCATATACCCTTATTAATACTCTTATCATTCAAGACAACTGACCCTAAGAATTTACATGCAGGTCAACTCTGGTCAACGGTCAACTTGACCGGACTCGTCGAGTGCAAAGGCGACTCGGCGAGTCTAGACGTCCTCCCCAACTTTCCCTGTTGTTCCCCTTTCTACTCGTCGAGTATCCCTCTTGACTCGACGAGATCCTCGTGGAAGAATCGCGGGGCCACCCCGACTCCACTCGCCGAGTCTGAAGAACAACTCGGCGAGTCCCAGTGAATCTTCAAGCTACTCGCCGAGTCTGAAGAACAACTCGGCGAGTCCCAGTGGATCTTCAAGCTACTCGCCGAGTCTGATCATTGGACTCGGCGAGTCCATGCCATGCAGTCGATCAACTGCTTCCTGAAATACGCATGGTCCCGAAATACGCAATCATGGGACTTTCTGGACCTCTAAACATCCTATTACTGGGGTATAAACGTTTGGGTAACAACATTATAATCTATCTAATCACCAAATGGGTTTCATAAACCCTAGATTCGTGTACACATCAAAATAACAGAAATGGTCCGAGTATTACCTGAAAACGCACTCTCTGTGTCTCCAAACCTCAGGACTCGATCCTCCTTGATATTCCTTTGGCCAAAACTCTTCTTCTTCTTGCCTAACAAATTCCTCAAAGTTCCAATAGCTTTCCCTCCTGCTCTAGACGTCCACAAACGATTAGGGTTCTTCTCAATCGGCCAAAAGACGAACAATGACGGCCTAAGAGGCGTTATATACGATCCAAACCAAACGGCTAGGGTTTCTGCTGAACAGCGTCGACTCGCCGAGTCCATATCTGGACTCGTCGAGTCCAGTCGCGAACCCGCGACCAAGCCTGTGGTCCTACTCGGCGAGTCAGGCACCAACTCGCCGAGTCCCTTCCTAAAATGCCCCAAAAATAGTTTTAAAGCAATACCTGAAATTCCGGGCTGTTCATGTTGGATAAGGTGTCTAAGTCCA